ATTACTAACTTATAATTGTGTACGTGTTTACAGCCAAAAAGATCTGGCTAACTATAAGTGGCACCAACTCTGAGGCTTGACACTCGAAAGTGAAAGTGATCGTCGGCCATGCAAGAAAATTGATGCAGTAGAAAAATGCCAGCACTCAGGCCACTTACATCTCCTCGTTTTTTCTCGAGAGTAAAGTATGGAAAAGTATCAGACCCTCTTATTTTTCTATGTCAAATTCACATTAGCTTTTCTTTACAATACAGCTGTTATCATCGCACAAGTAGCAGACTATTCTGAGGCTGAAAAAAATTGCTAGCTAGCATCCTTTGGAATAATAAAACAAATACCATCGGTGCTGGCGCACTATAAGCACCACTGCCACCAGCATCACCAACACCATCATCTCGCCACTGCCCAAATAGCCAACCACGTTTCTCGCGTCGCCTAGCTTCCAGACGGTTTTGAAGTGCAAACATCTCATGCCACATATCCCGGGAACTCATCTGAAACTAGAAGAATGACCACAAACGTTATCGGCCAAACTGTAAAATACTGTTTTTGTTGTCGAGCTTTTTGATCTTTTAAATTTCAGGATTTAGGATGCCTAAAATTCCAAAATACCCACCACTTCGGTGTACATTTCAAGAAAACTGTTTCAAAGCACATTGTCTAGAACCTATGTGTGTATGTGCGCACTTGTGTGTGTATTTGTTTATGCCTTAATTTTCAATCCTCACCTTGCAAAAATCGGTTTCATCGATAACTTTTGTATGTAAACGATGAGCATAGCTGTAAAGCAAAGGTACCGTTACGACAGCCATGCAAATTGCAAACATGGATAATGCCACTGCAACAATGGCCAGTCGACGAAACTGTCTGGAATTCTATGCATAGAAAAGCAAGGTGGCTTTGTAGAGGTTTTTAAAGTTTATTAAAATTGTATCGGTATTTGGTATCACAAGAAAGCAAGGAACCACTCATGCGACCTTCGAAGAAGCGGCGTCAGTGCATCGAACAAGCTATGACTGATAGGTAAAGCTTTGCAGCTTAGGATCGAAGGATCTGGCACGGAAACGACCGGTATATGGGAGTATCCCAGTAAACATCACTAATATCTGATCGACTAACCGACTGTCTGATTTTACTAATCCTAGTAAATTTATTTCTGATAAGAACTGCATCTTAAGAAATCTCTAATAAATACTGCACTCCCACTTTCTATTTATGAATCTTTCAGCAAACTTTTTAGAAATTGAAGAAAATAGCAGAAAAAACCTGTGCTCGTCTGATTCAATCTTTGCATCAAAACCCATGATTGTTGAGATCCAAGAACTGACTAGATCTTCGAATTATGTAACAGCAAAAAGATAAGGA